GAGGCGTTGAGCGAGAGGCTGCCTGAGTGTGTCAAAAACGCCAGAGTCCACGATCAGCGTGGCGTTGCCTGCCACGGCCAGTTTACCGGTAGACAGCAGAGCCGCCGTTTCCACGAGCACGTAAGCCGCACGCAGCTCACCTGAACTCACACGCAAAAGTGCCCAGTTTAGATAACTTCTTACCCCCCTCTCTTCCCGCTTTCGTTCTTATTCGTTCTTCTTCCTCCCTTGTGGGGTAGTAATCGGACCTTTGTTGAGAAGTCGGCCGGAGTTGACCAGGACCGCGGCAACCTGCACGGGGGCGCTGCCTGAGGCGATGGTGACGTCCGCTTGCTGCGAAGACCCACCGATGGTGGCCACGTCGTCGGGTCCGGGGAGGCCGCCGGCGCACCCGGTCCACGTGCTGTTGAGATGCCAGTCGCCGCCGGCCGCCACGCTCTGGCAGCTGAGCGCGCACGTCAGCCAGGGAGCAACCACCGCCACCAGAAGAAGCACACAACAAGCCAGCTGCAGTCGTTGGTGTCGAGCCATCATGGCTTCAGTGTTCGGCACGCGAGTGTGTTGGTCGTTTGTTGCTCGCTGCGGGTCCGGTGGGTTTGGCTACGGCCGCGCCTCGCGTGGTTGGGCTGCCGTGTCGGTCTGCGCTACGGTGGCGGAGGTGTATCACCATCCGGTGGTTGCGCGTACGGAGTTCGTCCCGCTCTCGCGTGGTTGGCTCGTCTTAGTGCTGCGTGGTTCGCATAAGTCATAAATTGGGAGATTGCAACAATAGCGACCAATCCAATCCAGCGGGCGATATTAAAAAATACCCAATCAATAATCTAATAAAATAAACTAACTTGTCGCTGAACACTTGCGCTCACCCACGAATCAGTTGTGTCTCGCCTTCTTGTTGTAGGATGAAGTCCACCGCCTCTGTGGACCCCATCGAGGTCAGTTGTAATCAGTCGTGGCCGCTCTCTCGCAGCAGACTCGTACCGGTGATGGAGGGGCAGACGTGGGTGGCGGGATGACGCGGGTCATTGTCGCCGGGACCCTGAAAGCAGCCAGTGCGCACCAGAATCGAAGTCCAGCCCATCCCGTTCGCTCCCTTGATGTCTGCAACACCCATGCGCCCACCACAAGTCTGGGCTAAGTTGTCTCCTCTAGGCAGCGCCATCGTGCGATGTCGCGTGGGTGTCTGGGTGGTACCGGAGAGGGGGTTGTCCCCCACGGCATAGAATCGCTGAGGCGGCGTAGTGTGGCCCTGCTGCGTGGCCAGCTCGGTGATCAGCTGGATGGCGTACTCGTAGGTCGTGCGATGCGGCTTTCCAAACAACACGCTCTGCAGCTCCTTCCCACTCACACTCTGTGCCATCTCACATTATGTGGATTGAGTGACTACACCACAAACCGCAACAGCATATGCCAACCAACCCTGGTATGTGGGACCTTGTAGAGCGCAGCGAGGCACACGTGGAATGCGCCGTTGGTGAATCGAGGCATGTGGAATTGGTCCGCGTACATCAGGTCGGGGTTGGCCAAGTACACGGGCAGATGTCCCTCTTCGTCCTGTCCATGTTCGCTCAGATCAGAGCGGGCCTCTTCAGAAGAGATTGCCTCGAGCATGCCGGCCGCACCTTCGATTCTCCCCTGTGCGTGGTATCGAACGGTTTGCCGCGGGTCGTTATCAGGTCCACACAAATCTGAAGCGCTTCGCCCCAATCCTCAGGGTCCTGGAACACGTGTGCGCACGCACGTCTCAATGCGGCCGTCGAGTCCAATGTCGGTGATGGCAGGGGCGTACGTCGAGGATGAAGATGGCGTCAAAGCTCTCCTCCTCCTCCTTCTTCCCTGCTGGGCTCAGGCCTTCCTCCTCCGCTCCTCCAGGAGCGTCGTAGGTCTTGGATGGATAGAGGTACGGGTGTCGGCGGGCAAACTCCTGTATAGTCGTGTAGCACTTGAACCCATAGCTAGGCTTGTGTGTGCGGTTGCGCGTGTGTCGTGTGTCGTGCGGTCAGACGTCTACGATCTTGCACACTCACAACAGGAAGGGGGCTCACCTGGTCATGACGGAGGCTGCCGCCGAGGCGGACGAGGCGACGACCAGGACCAGCCGGTCGGCGAAGCGCGGGAGCAGGCCGCGCAGCGGGGTGTGGGACTGGACCAGGCGTGCGGGCGAGATGGCGTCCCAGCCAAGGGCCTGGCGGTAGCGTGCGGCCTTGGCCTCCTCCGACTCGCCCCCTGAATTGGTAACGAAGATGAACGGCACCCGGGCCGCCTCCCGCTCGAGCGCCTCGCGTGCTCCGGGGATCGGCACGTAGCCCTTGTGCAGCACGCCGTCCACGTCCAGCACCACCGCTGCACTAAGCCGGGCCTTCATTCGTTCTAACAATTTGTGAATCGATGAAGTAGAGTTCGCTGTATTTCTTCGAACACCCCACAAAACCGAAAGGGAACAATACACCGCCCCAGACCGCAGGCAGTCGTGTGCACGCCCCCACTTCACAACACACAGAGCAAGATGAGAAGAGCATCAGCGCAAGCCTGGCTCGCTTCTGCACGATCTCAACCACCACCGCTTTCCCAAATTTCCACTCGAATCGGCGCACAATCTGCTGCAACGATCCTCACCGGCGCCGCCGGGTCGTCCATCCGCTCAGCCAGCCTTCTGAGCACTGTAGCCACTGCCACCAGACCCAATTTGCATACGCCCTTCACCACCACTGCTGCCTCGGCCACTCTGTACGCCCGACCACTCCGATCTTTGCCTTTTATTTAATCGCTCCCCACACACAAATCTCATCTCTGCTGCGCTCGCGCAGTCGCCGCTTGGGGCTGAATGGGCTCGCGCAGCCGCTGCGGGCGGGCCTCAGGTCCAAGCTGTCAGGCGGCCGACGCAGCTACTCCACCGAGGTCCCGGCCGCGGCCGAGTCGGCCAAGGGTACGCTTCTGCGCTGTATCGCATATGTGTGCACATCAGTGGCCTGGTCGGGCTCTTAACCCTTTGTCCCTTGCAGTGGCAGAGACGCCAGCGTCCCTGGACGCCCTGCGCGCCGAGTTCTATGAGTTCCAGAAGCGGACCCTCAACTGGAACGTACGTGCACACCATAATCATTATCAAGAGCGATCTTGAATTCACACAAGGTCTAACGATCCAACCAATGATGATGGCGATGGTGATGGTGATGACGGTGATGCAGATCGGAGGCGTGCAGGTGCCCAAGGCGGTGCTGTGGTTGGTGTTCTTCCAGTTCCTGGGTCTGGCCCCGTACAGCTTCGCGCTCGAGCGCAACGAATCTGTGGTCTTCGTCCGCGAGTACATGGAGAAGGTGCAGAGCATGGCCGAAAGCTCGGTCTTGCCCCTGGGCGACGATCACAACCAGCACATGCCCAGTTTCACCCGCGGCTTGACAGGCTGGGAGCGCACCGCCCTGCACAGCGTGGCTTCCGTGGCCACACTCTCGGTGATCGCGTTCCTGTACGTACACTCTCTGGGTCGCCATGGTTCCACGCTGACTCACAGATTGCGCTCGTATGCTGTGTGTGCTGTGTTGCTGTGTGTACAGTTGGGCGAGGAGACGCACGAGGCGAAGCTTCAACTCGTTTATTCTCTCGCGTGCCTTGGGCGAGCCTACGGGCACTTACCCCATCACCATGGAGAACGTGGTGCGCAAGGGCGACGCGCTCAAGATTAAGGGCGAGGGCCTCAAGAGCGTCAGAAGCGATGTCGTCCGCCTGGCCGGCCTCAAAGCCGTGCAGGCCTCCGTCGGGCTGCTGCTCGCCTCGACCGCCTCCTCCTACGCATTCACCACCTGGGTGGGTGGTACGATACCTCACACACACACACACACCACACACACACACACACACACGACACACACGCTAGACGCATGTGGCTGACCTCGATGACCGTCGTTGGGCACACTTGTAGGCAAGGTAAGGGATGGGGTGATTAGGTTCCGCCGCAGCGACGTGCTGCAGGGCGAGGCGGCGCTCTCCCTGGTCCTGCTGTTCAACTTCCTCGTCAGCTGGGCCGTGCTGGTCTACCAGCCCTACACCATCTTCCCCTTCGTCATCAGCAACATGCTGGTGCCGCGCCTCCCCTTCGCAGACCGCAAGTGCAAGCTCATCACCTCGCCCGTACGTAACACACGACACGACACACGACACACGACACGACACGCGTATGGTGCGAACGTCTCAAACCAAATCTTGTGGGATTGCGACAGAAGAAGGAGAAGCCGGTCGTGACCGAGCACAAGGCAGTGGTGGAGGTGGACGGCGGCAAGGAGTTCATCACCGTGACCGAGAAGAAGTCCGGGTCCAGCTACAGCCGGACCGAGAAGCGCGTGTTCGTTCCCGACGACGCCGACGCTCATGCCCGGCAGTTCCTGGGGCGCAAGCGGCGCGAGGACAGCACGACCAACGCAAACACGGCCGACGCCTGAACGCACCACTTCTTCACTCGAGCCAAGTTCCACGCTCCTCGCCACTATGCGTCGCGTTGTTGTTTGTACATACCCCTTGAAGAAGAAGAAGAAGAAGCTTCAGTTGTTCACTCTCACCACAAGAAGTTGAGCGGAACCCCTCCACGGTGTGGTTGTCGGGCTTCATAGAAATGCTGGGAACGAACCACACGCAAGGGGGCAGTATTGCAATACAATAGAGTAGTAGCCCCACACCACACCACACAGAGCAAGATGAGAAGAGCATCAGCACAAGCCTGGCTCGCTTCTGCACGTTCTCAACCACCGCCGCTTTCCCAAATTCACACGCGAATTGGCGCACGATCAGCGATCCTCACCTGTGCCGGGTCGTCCATCCGCTCGGCCAGCCTTCTGCGCACTGCCACCAGACCCACGCTCCACGCTGCCTTCACCACCACTGCTGCCTCGACCACCCTGTACGCCCACTCACATCTTTGCCTTTATTTTTATTTTTATCTTTTTCTCTCCGCACCAAATAAAAACAAAACATTTGCTCATCCCTGCTCTCGCTCGTGTCACCTTTGTGCACAGTCGCCGCCTGGGGCTGAGCGGGCTCGCCCAGCCGCTGAGGGCGGGCCTCCGGTCCAAGACGCTGCCAGGCGGCCGACGTCGCTACTCCACCGAGGCCCCAGCCGCACCCGAGACTGCCAAGGGTTCGCTTGTCTCACTCCATCCACCACAACCACACACGCACACGCACACGCACACACGCACACACGCACACACGCACACACACAACGTGGCCTGACCAGACTCTGACCCCAATTGCCCATGATGTAGTGGCGGAGACGCCAGCGTCCCTGGAAGCGCTGCGCGCCGAGTTCTACAAGTTCGAGAGGAAAGGCCTCAACTGGAAAGTACGTGCACACATCTTTAATTTAACAAAGATGCGAGAGTCAGCACCGGCCCCTGGCTTGTCAACCAACTGACCACGATGGTGGCGATGATGATGGTGATGATGGTGATGCAGATCGGAGGCGTGCAGGTGCCCGAGGCGGTGCTGTGGTTGATGTTCTTCCAGTTCATGGGCACGCCCTTATACAGCGGCTGGCTCGAGCGCAACTCATCGATCAAGTTCGTCCGCCAGTACGTGGAGAGGCTGGAGAGCATGGGCTTGCCCCGGGGCGACGACGACAACCCGCCGCCGGTACAGTCTGACTGCTCCACCTGGTTCACCACTTCTACACTACTTCTGTTGGTGAATGACACACACACACACACACACACTCACACACACACGCAGAGCGTGCCCGGTTTCACCCGCAACCTGACAGACTGGGAGCGCACCGCCAAACACAGTGCGGCCTTCGTTGCCTCCCTCTCGGTGATCGCGTTCCTGTACGTCCATCCCTCTCTGGACCCTCATGCCACGATCCCGCTCACGTGGGCTTACACGTTGCGTTCGTGTGTGTCGTGCGTGTCGTGCGTGTCGCGTGTTAACAGCTGGGCGAGGCGACGCACGAGAGACAACTTCAACGACTTCGTCCTCTCGCGCGCCATGGGTGAGTGGCCCGGGACCTATACTGTCACCATGAAGGACGTGGTGCGCAAGGGCGACACGCTCAAGATCAAGGACAAGGGCCTCAAGAGCGTCAGGAGAGATGTCGGCCGTCGTGCCGGCTTCAAAGCCGTGCAGGCCTCCGTCGGGCTGCTGCTCGCCTCGACCGCCTCCTCCTACGCATTCACCACCTGGGTGGATGGTACGACAACACACACACACACACACACACACACTTGAAGCATGTAGCTGACCTTCGTCGGGTACACACAGCCAAGATGAAGGATGGGGTTATCAGGTTCCGCCGCAGCGACGTGCGGCAGGGCGAGGCGGCGCTCACCCTGATCCTGCTGTTCAACTTCCTCGTCAGCTGGGCCGTGCTGGTCTACCAGCCCTACACCATCTTCCCCTTCGTCATCAGCAACGTTCTCATGTCATACCTCCGCTTCACGGACAGCACGTACAAGCATGTCACCCTGCCCGTACGTACTCCGCCAAGACCACCACACACACATGTACGAGGTCGCGTGTTCAACTCAAACCTAATGTTGTGTGCTGGCGACAGAGCAAGGAGACGCCGGTTGTGACCGAGCACAAGGCGGTGGAGGAGGTGGACGGTGGCAAGGAGTTCATCACCGTGACCGAGAAGAAGTCCGGGTCGGGCTACACCAGGACCGAGACGCGCGTGTTCGTTCCCGACGCCGCCGAAGCCGGCGGCAACGCCCAGCGCACGCTGGACACCACGACAAAGACCGACGCCTGAACGCACCATCCTGCATAGCTCTCTTTTTATTTCTACCATTCGCGCAATCACAAGCCAAGTTCCAGTCTCCTCACCGTGTGCGTCGCGTCGTCGTGTGTCGTGTCATGAGCGTGTGTGTTATGTACAGACCTCGAAGAAGACGAAGACGAAGTTCAGTCCTTGAGCTTGGGGCACTCCTCGTCGACCAGGTCGGCGACGTGCGCGAGATCCTCCTCCTCGGGGTCATCAGCGAGCTGGTTCTTGAGGTCGCCGGCCTTGTAGGGCAGCACGACGGCGATGATCCGCTCGGCGTAGTGGAGGGCGACGGCCATCCCCACCACCAGCACGACGACCACCGGCCACAGGAGCATGTGGTCGATGAGGTTCTGCAGCAGCGCAAAGTAGGCGTCGATCAGCCGCACCAGCCAGGTGC